TATATAAAGATATTGTAGTGATGTACTAATTTTGACATGTAGGCAATTTAGAAAGTATAGTTTTGTTAAATCTTGAGTATTAAAGTCATGTGAGAGATAGATATCAGGGCAAAATAAAGAGACTGAAAAGAAAAATGTAAGTGAAGGTGCAGTTCAGGAGATAACTTTTAATTATTTTGCATGTCCCCAACCTAAGGATTTAAACCTTTCTTATGTGAGGTCCATACACAAAATAGGGTTGTCCATGTTTCAGAATTTGTTGTGGGTGTATGAGTGTGAGATTTCCCAGCCTGAATTTTTTTTCCCAGTCCGCCCCTCGTGGAAATTAATGGCGCAGACGCGCGGTTTAATTTACTACACATATGCCTACTGAAGCTTGCGGTTTTCAGCCTCTGCCGCCTCAATATATGAGTACATGAGCACATAAACATAATCTCTAGAACTGCTCTGAGTCACTTCATGAGCATTTTACTTATTTTGAGAAAACTATCATCATATCATATACGAAGAGACACCAATGTTTCAGGAGTTTAGTACACAGAATAGGACACATGCTTATTAGATAACCGTATTTGAGTGGATGTTTATGCTTTTATTTATTATTATTTTTAAATTAACTTTTTTTTCCAAACCATTGTTAGATGCAGTGTTTCCTGTAGTTATGCAAAGATTTCTTATCTATTAACTATTTCTTATGATTTTAAATTTGCATTGAACTTCAGATCAATCTCAAAGTAAAAGGCGGTACTAAAGTCTGATTTTGTGGTGGATGTGTTCAAATTTGATCATCTTAATTCAAGTGATGAAGGATTTTGAAAGTCTGACAGTGTTGAGCACTACTGTAAAGTTAACCCTGCATGGTGTAAATGTTTGAAAATGATTAACAGTTGCAAATAAACATTCATTAGAAATGTATAAAAGTAATCAAAAAGTAATCAAAAGTAATCAGTTTAATAAAGTAATTGAAAAAGTTACATTTTAAAAGTTACATTTAAACTTGTAATCTGTAACCTATTACATTTCCAAAGTAACCTTCCCAACACTTGGAGGTGTGTGATGCGCCACGATTTTCAAATCTTGAAGTGTGTGCATGTTTAAGATTTGAGGTAAGATAATCTGCAAAGATTCTCCGTATGTGTGTGCTGCAACCAGATTTCATAATCGGTTAGGATTTTAAAACTCCTGTAGTGTGAGCCCGGTTTTAGTCATTTGCTTCTCTCTGAAGTTTTCTGAGGTTATGCGCAGGTCTCGTTGCTTCCGGATCAAGTGATTTGTATGTTATCCGTTGAATATGGAGCTGTTGTTTTACTAAAGATGTCTTAAAAGGAGATACCATAGATGATCATAATATAACCAATGTCTATCACATATGCAGACTGATATCAAAAATATTTTTTTATTCTTTTCACTATGTAAATGTAGTCTTATGTATAAATAATTCTTCCAAGATAAATATGCTATTTACTATACAGTGTACAATCTCATTTTCTTAATTACCCACCCCACAGATTTGTTTGTCAGTGACTTGCTCATAATCTTAGAGGGAGACAATTTCTGACCATTTCTCTTTGAAGAACCCCATCTGTGTCAAAAATAAACGTTGTAGAGACAGACAATTTCTAGGACCAATCGAATTCTGTAAAAAGGTATCCACATTTAGAGAATATGACGATTGATGTTCTTCGTTTCAAGTGCATGCATTATACATACATGTTGCAGCAATCTAGTAGAATGCAAACCGATTCCAGTGGCATTGTTTTCATCTTATCTTAATTTAGCTGAGGAATAAATAGAATGTAACTAAATTATTTTATATAAATTTAAATAAATTATTTTCATTCACAATAGTCCCCATCATTGTCTGTAAGGGCACACATATGGAACCTGTGACACCACAGACATAAGTTACATAAAAGTGAAGTAAGAGAGAGGGGCAAAAGACACGGCTTTACTCTCTCTTGATGCAGAGAAGGATTCATTGAAATGTGTATTTTACAAGCTAAACGAATAATTGCTCTTAATTGGAAAAATATCAATGAGCCAAGAATTGGAAAGTGGATCAAAGAAATGGCGTCAAACATGTCAATGGAAAAGATCACGTATATTGTCAAAAAGAAACAAAACGTTTTTGAAGATGTCTGGAGACCTTTTACTAATTTCTTAAGGCACAATGTTAAATGTTGGTAGCCTGCTACAAGCAGCTCTGAGGGAGTAAGGTAATATCATGATCTTCTTTACAAACTTGGGAAACACTCTTTACTTGATTTAGGTATCTTTAAATTTTTATTTTATTTTATTTATTAATTATTTTTAAAAAAAAAAAAAAAAAAAGTGAAGTAAGAATACAGACAATTTTTTGCTCTTGATATCCAAGGTCATTTTATTTTAAATATTACAAACTTGTCAACCACCAGTCTAATACCAATTCTTCATGGCGTCGAGAGGTAGGGACAAAGTGACGAAAAACAAACAAGTCTTAACACCAGGCGACTATAATAAATTTGTGAAATAAAACTGTAGTAGAAACATTAGAAGGCACTTTGTTTTTAATGAGCATTTTGAACTATTAGCATTTTGAAAATTATGAAAATTCTGTTTCACAGAACTGAAACAGTGAAGCCTTTTCTAGTGTTCTTACATTTTGGTAATATCATACCAATCTGGATAATCTGGAAGTCTGAGACAGACATATAGACTGTCAAAGCAACAACGGTGTAGCTTTTGGCTATTTAAAGTAAAGGTTAGTTATAAAATGTATTTTAATATGTTACACTGCAAACTTCATAGATAGAGCTATAGATCTGAGAACTTTGGAAATCACATTGCTATCAGGAATGCTGGTGGTTAACGCCACAAAAGCCTAAAAGATGCTTTCCACATCTCCCATTTCCACCACAACAGTCTTGAGCTGAGAGTAGTACTCGATGGTCACTTGTCCATTCTCCCTTCCAAACCCTAAATGAAAAGGAGAATAATAATAATAATAATAATAATATGTTAGATCTCTCATAGCTCTCTTAGAGCATTTATGAAATATACTTGTGTACTAAAGCACTTGGCAGAACAGATTGAGGTTTACAGTTTTTTCCTGTATATGACACCATCGATAATCACCCATGAAACTATAAGTTTGGAGTACCTGACATCTTGTAGCCTCCAAAAGGAACTTCCACAGGGCCAACATTGTAGTTGTTGATGTAGCACGTTCCTGCTTGAAGGTTTGCAGCAACTCTGTGGGCACGGGCTATATCCCTGTAAAAACACAGCACAGGAGAATGTTAAATCTACTATTAGGGTAGGCAGTTTACTGGGTTAATTTAGTGTGATTAAATAAATTCTATGATTCACAGAAATTAATCTTTACAATATTATTATATTTTTTGTAGATAACCGATTTGGTTACAAGAAAACTTAAACTCTACAAAAAGACTTTATTAAATGAATTATTTTGTAAATGAAAATGCTAAAAAGTTTCCTAGTTTATTATGAGCTTAGTATAAAACAACAGGCGTCACCAGGAAGTATATTATATTATATTGCTGTATGGTGGCGTCACCTGGTGGACAGTTACAGTACTGTCGTCCTTTATTTATACAGAAGCTCTGTCTTCTAGAAATGTGTTCAGATTTATATGCATTAAAGTACTACATTGGTGCAGCAAGACACTAATGAAGCTGTACATGTGGGCCTGATGGCCTATTGAAAGCTGAGAATTGTGGGTTTGAGCCTCATCTGGGTCATTTAAAAATATCTAGGGAAGCCAGTGATATGCAATGCACTCACTTTCATTGAAACAGACACACTTTGAAAGTGCAAATAAATAAATGATCAAGTGGCTTTTTGTCTATAAAAAGTGTGTGGCTGAAACAGAAATTAAATATTTTTTTAAACACACCTCTCCCTGCGTGAGGAAGTTGGCCATGAGGGCCCCTTTTATCGCATTCTCCAGTTCACAGTCCTTAAAGATGATCAGTGGTGACTTTCCTCCAAGCTCCAAAGTCACCTGCTTCACACCTTTGGCTGCCATTTCCATAACCTTTATAGGGTACATCACACCACATCAAAAATACATTTTAAATACATATTGCACATACATTTGCATACTTCCCTAATGTATAGTAGGTGAAAAACTGTATGGGAAAAGAGTATATCCATAGTATTCACAGTATTCATGACAATGGTAGGTCACGTGACATCTGGTATGTCCAGATTATATTAATTCTATACACAGGCATACTATACTGAACATAATTTTTAAATGGTTGTTAAGTAATCACTTATTGAAGAGAATATGCAATTTTCTGATGCAGCCCTAGTTTTCGGGTTCCATTTTGAATGACAAATACAGACTACTGCCACTTGCTGATATGGACAGTTATTTCCTCTTATGCAGAAACAGCACATATGTACTAGTTAGCCATTGGCTAGTCTTTGTGATGTGTTCACATGAAATTTTTGGTCAGCATGAAGGCCACATGATATGACAACACAGTCGGCGTTCATCGCTACTATTTCTTTGATGTTGGTTTGGTGTACCTGAGCTTTTACGGTTTTAAAACCAATCAAATCTACATCTATGTCGGCGCCAATAGCCTTGTGTTCGAATCCCGACTCGATGACCTTTCCCAATCACGCTCCCCTATCTCTCTCCCACTTCGCTTCCTGTCAATTCTGATCTGTCCTATCATAAAGGCGAAAAAGCCAAAAATAAATCTTAAAAAATAAAATAAAATAAATAAAAATCTATATCCAGTAGAGCAGTGGATTTCAATCAAGGGGGTGCAGTATGACTTCAAAGTATTAATTAATAAATTTGTATTAATATATTAAGATAATCTAACTATAACCTAAACTAAATATTAAGAAAAGATTCAAAAATTAGTTTTGAACAATGGTGGGGCCTTTGGGCAAAAAAGGTTGAGAACTACTGCATTACTGCTGCATATAGAGTATACGGGTTCAAAATGTGTATATTTACAGCTAACTGTACCTTGTACTAATGCTACTAATTTTCTTGGTTTTTTAAATTTTTTTTGTTTTGCTTTCATACTATACCTTCTTTCCAGTGGGAACACTGCCAGTGAAGGACACTTTGGCCACCATGGGATGGTGGCACAGCAATCCTCCAGTCTCGGCTCCTCCTTGTACGACGTTAAAGAGTCCATCTGGGACACCGGCCTCTTTGTAGATCTCTGCCAACATGACTGCTGTCACTGGGGTCATGGGAGATGGTTTAAACACCATGGCATTTCCTAAGAGGAGAAGATGTTTCCATAAGAGAGAGAAACGGACAAGGGGGGGGGGAACAAGAAAAGGATGGAGCACCAAAATCCAGCCACAAATTACAGATACATAGAGCAATCTTCTCATACCACAGGCCATAGCTGGGGCTGACTTCCAGGCAGCTATCTGGAATGGGTAGTTCCAAGCTCCAATGCCAACACACACTCCCAGTGGCTCCCTTCTGGTATAAGCAAAAGATCCTCCTGGAAGCTGTATATGCTGGCCTGAGTATAGAAAGACCATTCTTAGATATGATGTATAAATATTTCCATTTTTTGCCATTTTTGAGACCAGCCACCTTGTCAAGTTGATTAACCAGTATTCAAGCCTACCTGACAAAGTGGGGGCAATGCCAGCATAGTACTCAATACACTGCCAAGCAACGTCAATATCCACCTGAGCCTCAGTGATTGATTTGCCATTGTTGGCCACTTCTGCTCTCGCAATTTCATCTCTGCACTCCTACATTCAAGAATAGAAGTTTGCTAATTGGTAGAATCAAACTAATAATCAACATCATGACATAATTTCCCTGCAGAATCATAGGTAATGTAGTTTTACACCAGAAATTTTGCTGTTGATCATCTATACTGCTGACATGGGCTTCATTATTATGCCATGTGACACTAGTTTGTATATTATGTTCATTTGTATATGTTTTGGTTAGCTTAATCATACGTAGCCATGATTATGAATAATATAAAATGAATATTGTTATTACTTGGTCAGCTGTCTGGCTGATCATAAGATATCAAAACGGAAATGCACATGAGGAGGGCGAACCGCTCGATAGTGGAATCAAAACTAGAAAAAAAAAACTGCACAGGACCTAAAAGTAATTTATTAGTTTTAAAAAATCATACCAGTTGCAGGTTCGTATACTGGTTCAGAGTTCTTTGTGTCCTTCGGCTTCACTCTCGCTCCTCCCCAGAAATTCAGCGGCTCCTTCACCACCAAAGTACCCGTGGAAACACTCTGAAACTCGGGCAGCGACAGAAGCGGTTGCTGAGCCATTCTGGTCGACGGGAGCCATACAAATGCTCGGTGAATGTAAATACTTGTTAGCAATATATTTTTGTTCCAACCACACATGCAAGCAGTAGAGTCAATAACGTGCAATGACAAAGGTTTATGCATGCACTGACTTCGAATAATAACTAGTTCGTAGTGCACTTGGCTAATCCACATTGCTGCTACAACGGGGAAACGCCCCATTACAGGTCATTGAAACAACAACGTTTTGCTGCGTGAACCTTCACTAATAAGAATGCAGCACTGACTATTCATGTTTATGCATTAATTGTACAACTATAACAAAAATGCATGCAATGCACTAAGCAGTCGTTTAAATGCATGTTCTTTACCTTTTCAACACAATCTGTTTACTGCACAAAAGTAGATGGTTCGCCTTCTGTGGTCGTGGAGTGAAAGGAGGACGTCTCCACAATTTTGTTCGACTTTAAAGCATATGGTTGCTCAAACTGACCCCGTAATTTGATTACATAAAGGGTGGATGGGATGGTTTATACCTTAAGCACCGCCTTTAGACCACATTTTTATGGTTTCAACACATTTTGGCCAAAGTTCCAGAAGGCAAGAATTGCGCAAAACATCAGGGCCCGTATTCACAAAATATCTTAGGGCTAAAAGTAGCTCATAACTCGCCGATTTAAGAGAAAATCTTAAAAATAATGGGCGTGTCAATCCTAAATTTAGGACTCCTACATTTTTGCTCTAAGAGTATTTCACAAAGCGTTTTAGCATTAAAACTAGCTCCTAAATCTGTGAAACGTTAGGAGTAGACCAAGCCACAAACTATCCTAAAACGGCTGTTGCTGGCAGTCTGCCTCGGAACATAAACATTTTAGAAACATTTGATGATAATGACCTTTTAAAAAGGTATCGGTTTTTGCTTTGGAGATTATCCCAACTCCCAACTCCCAAATTTCCTTTGATTATATCCTTGTTTTCATTAACCAGTTGGGCAAGAAGTAACAGCTGTTCTTGCATCCAGTTTGGTTTTCTTTTATGTTTGCATGTCTTACTATCAGCCATGATTATTCTACTCTGTTCATTAAAAGGCTGTTTATATGCATATTCACTATTTTTGAGAAGCATACGTGTAAGAGGCTGACAACAAGCTGAACATATACTTGTTTAATTAGTGACATTTATCCTGCATTTTAAAATCTTTATTTGAATGTGGCAATTACATTTTTTTATTTTTAAACCTTTATTTGAATATGGCAGCATAATATTGCACTCTGCAATATTTCTATGAATAAATCTCTGACAGAGACAATCAGCCAATCACTGTGTGCATAGTAAGTATGCTGACATCATCCATAGCAACGAGGTCAACCCTGCCCTTACTCTTAGCTTAAGACTTCTCTCTATTCCTTAGTAAAACTTTGTCTCAGCAGCTTTGTGAATAGGTTTTAAGAGAAAACTCTTAGCTAAAAACGTTTACTGCTATTTAGGAGAACTTTTAGCAGATAACATGTTTTGTGAATAGGGGCCCAGAAACGCATCTTCCGTTTGATGTGCATGATTCTTGTCTTGCGCCTCTGTAACATAACCATGAACTCTAAAAGAAACACTTTGTATACCTCAGACAATACAAACAATAGACTAGAGTGTATTGCAACAATGTCAGCTCTTTCCAGCTTGAAAGAGAATTTAACTGGGACATAACTAGGGAGGACGTGTCTTCTCAACTTCATGAATTACATTTTTGTTCCTGCTGCAACTCTGCTGTTTTTCTGTCTCTCCATCTATCACTAGTTATGTACTGGTCAGCCAATTTATTTCTCTTTTGCGCTAATAAATTTGGCAATGAAATGTTCAATGTCAATTCTATAACATATGTAAAATGTATGCTCTACCTAAACAAACATTATTACTTCTAGATTAACCATCCGAGACTATTACAAAAAGTTTATCCTGTGGGGGACAATTGCAGAAGTCTAAAACTTTACTCTGAATTACAAAACAATGATTCTGGCCTAGGCCGTATTATGCATACCATTTTACTTTTCTTTTTTTTTTAAACAACTGTAAAACTCCTTTTTATTCATTTATTTAATCATGTGCAAATGCTATTTGAACATTAAATAGTGAAATAATAATCATAATAAAAACTAGAGGAACAAATGCTCAAGGGTTTAAGTTCTAAACTCACAAAATCCTTATACTTAAATAAAACTTTTACACAGACAATCCCCCCCAAAAAAAGAGATAAACATTCTAAGAATCCACCGATCAAACTAATCTCTCAAATTCTAAATATGAAGTTATATTAATTAATATTGCTTGTAGGTAATCATAAAATTATAATAGAATCATTGTAGCCTTCTGAGCAACATAAAGGTATACAGAAATGCTTCAGACTGAATTTACATTCATAACCATCTTTGCTCAAGGAACACTTTCTGTTAGAAATGTGACTACATGTAAGTTATAAATTTACCTGATTAAAAAACAACAATAAACCAAAAAGACACAAAGCACATGACTTCTGTGGTCATCACAGGTAACGGTAGCTGCACAACCTGACTATCAATCTCTCACATTGAGTGGTTCACACAATGTACAGCTGAGTGTCTGATCTTTTTAAGTAGGTATCCCACTGTCTACAAATGTTTATGAAAACTTGGCAGCTTGTGGAGGAGGTCCTAAAAATCCTCCAGCCTGTTTGGTGGCGGCACGGGAGGGGGCGAGACCCAACATCTTCTGGATATTCTGAAACGACAAGTATTCAGTGGAAAAGGTTAGGGCATGCATTACATAAATGAACAGTGTCAAAGCCTAAACTCTTCCCTCAAAACTGCCATTGCATTATTGCACTTGGATCATGCTCCATTCAAATATACAGAAATACAGAAGAAATATATACATATATATATAAATAGATAAGTATTACCTGTCGAATTGACATGGTGCACAGGATGTAGAGGAAGATGAAGGAACAGTCTGTGTAATCTTCACCAAGGAGGTTGCGGTGTGAGAGGCCTTGGATATATGACAACGGGACAAATGGAAGTTTGGCTACAACACGACCGTCAAAGCTAAAATGGAGAAAAAAAAAAGTAAACATGAGTGAAGTAGCGATTTAAGGTAACTTTAGCAAATCATACCACTATTAGCCTAAGAAATAATTGAACATTTAGCCTATAACAAAGCGATTCAGTGATAATGAACTGAACAAGTCTACATACATGGAATTGAACATGCCCATCAAAGCAGTGAAGCAAAAGCCAATGGCAAACATTGATTTCATCCGAACCTGCAATTAAAAATATCTTTAAGACAATGCCAAAACAAAGTGTAACTTGTTAGACAGCTCACAACATTATCTATGAGAATTAATAAGATATAACACAAAACAATGAATTGTGTGATATAAATTTAAAGGGGTCATATGATGCTTTTTTAAAGATCATTTTTTTGTGTATTTGGTGTAACAGAATATGTTGACATGCTTTAATGTTCAAAAAACACATTATTTTTCAAATACTGTACATTATTGTAAGTCCTCTATTTGAGACTTTAGTCTTTGCAACTTCAGGGATCTTATCTATGCACAATCAACTTGTAACACTCCAAAGAGAAAGGAAAACTTGAAATCGCATCATATGACCCCTTTAAGAACTGCAATAGAAAATATTACAATACCATAGACAGATCTCTGTTATTGTTCTTGAGTTTCTCCTCTTGTCTCTCTGTTGAATACAACAGTGTGGTTACAGTAATACTCCATTTACGTTGCAGAATAAATATTAATTACATTTTTATTACTTGTTGATAATAATAACAACAGTAACAACAGCATATTTTTAGTAATTGTCGGTTATAATAATAATTATTATTTTAGTATTTGTTAATAGTAATAATAATCATCATGATACATAAATCATCATAAAAATATTTTTAATAATCTCATTTACCAATTTTTTTCTTCTGTTGACGCCCAGCTGATTCTGTAATTGTCTCTTTCTTTTTCTCCACTGAAACATGTTACAGAATTTGAATCAATGGTCACATGTATTAAATACATAAAAATGACAAACATGCTTCGTTCATATGACTTACGTTTTTTACTTTGTTTTTCAACCTCGGCCTTTAGTCTCTTGTATTTGTCTGTGCGGTACACCAGAACCCATGTTATACCTGTAGAAACAGAGCAATGCGAGCTGTTATCCAGCACTGCCAGAGCTAATGCGGTTGTCCTGTATTTGCTGAGCTTAGGACATTTTCCAAGGGATTCGCTAACTGCTTTCTGACATGTAAAACTCCATTTCAAGATAGCGTGTACATACCTTCCGCTAATAATGCTGTGCAAATAGATATAAACACAATCAGGATCGTATCTGCAAACATTGTGCTCATTTTGGAAAAACGTTTAGGAGACTGATAATACTCGATAATACTTTGGTTGAGCCACAAGCTCTACTGTAGCAGCGTCAGCATTACTGTGATGATATCATCAATGTGCACCCGGCTTCCTCGTGGGTTCTATGTAGTTGCGCTATGAACTAATGACTCCACATCTCCTACTAGTGGCAGTGACCCGGCTTTATATGTCGGCAAGTAAGAGGCATGATGACGAACAGATTAAAACATTTTTTTTTAAACTTTTTTTAAATTATAGTAATGAAGATTTGCTGGTGGATTGTTTAATTTAATTGTTTAAGGATGCGATTTTTTTAAATGATTTTTAAAAGGATTTTAGACTGCTTTGCAATGTAGGGAACTGTATACATTTGATGCATTATTAATTGAACCATTTAATGTTACACAGCAAATTTCATATCCACTGAAACAAATTAAGCAGTAGGGATTGTGAGTCTGTGCTCTCCTTTGAAATATTTTTTTTGTAATGTAATAATACCCCATATTCATATCATTATGTATTGTGTTATATTATAAACAATTCACTCTAATATAACAATTTAAGTACAAAAAATAAATATTATTATAAAGGTAATACTCTACTGTACTATGTGATTGTTTAAAAATTTAAAGGTTTGATTAAAAAATTCCAAATATAGTATTTCTAAACTTTAAAAGTATTTAATTTTGCTTTCCCATAACAATTGGGGAAATATTCAACAGCCATGTTGTAGCCAATACTCCATCACTGTATCATCAATGTAAAACAGCGTGAAAAAGTTCAAATTTGTTCTATCTAAATATATATACATACATACTATATACTATAAATAATACATACATACATACAGGTGCATCTCAAAAAATGTGAATATCGTGAAAAAAGTTTTTTTTTTTTTGCTTATTTCAAAAAGTGAAACTTTCATATATTCTAGATTCATTACATGTAAAGTAAATTTGTTTGGTTTAATTTTGATGATTAGAGCTTACAGCTCATGAGAGTCAAAAATCCAGTATCTCAAAATATTAGAATATTTCCTAAGATCAATCAAAAAAAGATTTGCAAAACAGAAAGGTTCAAGTTCTTTAAAGTATGTTCATTTATGCACTCAATAGTTGGTCGGGGCTCCTTTAGCACAAACTCCAGCATCAGTGAGGTGTGGCATGGAAGCGATCAGCCTGTGGCACTGCTGAGGCACTATTGAGTCTTCAGCCCGTCTGTATTGTTGGATCGACTGTTTCTCCCAAAATCTCCTGGTAGATGGCTGCATTGACTTTGGACTTGATAAGACACAATGGACCAACACCAGCAGACATCACAGCATCCCAAATCATCACTGACTTCGGAAACTTCACACTGCACTTCAAGCAGCTTGGATTCTGTGCCTCTTCAGTCTTCCTCCAGACCCTGATTTCCAAATGAAATGCAAAATTTACTTTTATCTGAAAAGAGGACTTTGGACCACTGAGCAACAGTTCAGTTCTTTTTCTCTTTAGCCCAGGTAAAATGCTTCTAAAATTGTTTCAGAAGTGGCTTGGTAGCCCTTTTCCTGAAGACGTCTGAGCGCCTCCAGCTTCAGTACACTCCTTGTGAAGCTCTCCCAAGTTTTTGAATCAGCTTTGCTTGACAGTATTCTCAAGTTTGCGGTCATCCCTGCTGTTTGTGCACCGTTTCCTACCCAATTTCTTTGTTCCAGTCAACTTTGCATTTAATATGCTTTGATACAGCACTCTGTGAACAGCCACCCCTTTAAGTAATGACCTTCTGTGACTTACCCTCTTTGTG